GGGGGGGGGGGGGGTAATATTCTTAATAAATTTTTGTTCTCACCTTATAACTAAATTTGTCTTCATCTCTTTGGTCTATTTTCCGTGTACCAAGTCAAAGAGAATGTTCCCAATGAGATCCTAGTAATATTCCCCTCCATATTTCTTTTGAAGTCTCCTAGCCTCTCAAGATCTTGCTATCATTTGCTGTAAAGTCCCCTGTAGACGAGAGCTCAAAAATGGTTTGCTACTTCCTATTTTTCCTTTTGCAGCATTAAAATCAAATTGGAGAGACCAACAAAGCATCCAAAATCTTCTTTCGAGGTGAGAATCTCCCTTCTATCGACTCTTTAAACTTCTCCTAACTGAAATTCATGACGGGAAAGAAAATATTAATGGTTCTTAAAAATTACTTTGTAGTGTTTGGTTACATTCAATTGTCAAAGTATTTTCTCCAAGAAAGAAATATTTTCCCCCAAAAGTTTAAAATGACTTGCTTAATGTCAGTTGGTTCAACTACCATTTAAACATGATTGTCAACCTTTGAGTTTCAAATATATCATAAAAATGTTATCCTCCGTCGTATCTTATCCTTTACCTTATATGAATTACGATTTTCATGGGCATCTACTTTTATACCCAACCTAACACTAGAAAACAATCCTAAAAAAGTGATTTTACAATACAGAGCATTGTCTGCACAAACGTTCAATAAAAATGATTTCCTTACACTTTAACACATGAATTATGACAACTCTCACGAAATTAAGAACCTGATGTTGTATTAAAAGATTGCTTCACTGGGAGGTCTCTGCCTTGACATTGACTGTTTACATTTCGTCTAGGCAAAGTTACAATGTTAGTTTGTTACATCATCTTCAAAGCCTTTCTCAAGTAATGAATCAGCATAATTCCTTAAATGCAAACTCACTCAATCATGGACAAGGAAATATGACGGGAGAAAATAAAAAATAGCCAGATTTACAAGTGGTCATTCAAAAATAGCCACAGTTTTAAAAGTAATCGCAATTTAGTCACTTTTCATGTAAAGATAAATCTGAACGAAAACAATGTTCAAAATCTAGAAAAATACTCCAGTATAATATACTGGAGTTCCAGCATAATATACTGGAATTCCAGCATAAGTATACTAGAGTTCCAGTATATTATACTGGAACTTTCCGCGTGTTGGAGTTCCAACATAATATGCTACACAGGTACACCGATCTCCAGTATATTATGCTAGAACCTTCCGTGTTGCAGCAAAATAATGGCTATTTTCGATGACTTTACAAACACTGGCTATTTTTGAATGACCAGTCCGAAAACTGGCTAGCCCGTGCTAGTTTTACAAATAGGACTATCCAACCCATAACAGAAGGCAAAATCCTGGCATGGACACTAGTGAAAGTTACCATCCGTATCCAAACCCCACTAATCCGACTACAGCCAGGAGTTTCACCATTAGGACTCGAAATCAAAACCTCAGGTTAAGTCTTACGAGTGGAGGGATCTCATACATTCCACCACAATCTATGATGGTTTAAACATTCGGCTCTTAACAAAGAACAAATACAAAATGAATTGGGAAATTGCTTCTTGTCTAGTGTAGTTGAGCTACTATTTACTTTATTTATACATAATCATCTCATGTTTGTTTTATAGTATTAGGAAAAGATGAATTGCACACACCACATAAGGTGTACAACACATTCATGCAAATTAATCTTTTCGGCATGCTATTAATAATCACCAAATATCAAGATGACGTCCATAAGCCCCAATGGTAACATATGTTTCAGTAAAATCAAATTTATGTACAAGATTGAATATACACAAACCCAATGAACATATGTTACATACTTGCCGAATCAATCTCCAAATAGATATCAGAATCCTTTCCAAGCAGCAAGAACTTCATTGAAGATTTCACCAATGATTTCTCGGTCTGCATACTGCAGAAAGGCATTGAAATCATCTCTTATATCGAATATTTTACCAAACCTCACAAGATACCTCATACAACAGGCCTTCAGCTTTGGTAGTTGATAAAGGGAAGCCGTTTGAAGCCTCTCAAGAACATTCTTCGCGTCAATATCTTCCATTAGACTTTCATGACATGCCTCTTTTAAGTCTGAAAGGTCATATTTATCAGCGGCTCGAAGCAAAGCTAGCCTGTGGATTAAAAATTCTTCATTTTGTATGTTCCCATAAATATAGTTCAGAAAACATTGGCAAGCTTCTATTGACATGTCGGAGATGTTTATGGCAGATAATTCTTTCTCTTTGAGGTCATGGGAGAACATACTTCGGAAGACAGGTGACCTTGCAGCAAGAACAGCACGATGCGCCCCAATACTTCCATCAGAAGCATTGATTATGATGTCTGTGTGAATGCTTTCGGACAACATACGGCCAAGTGATGTCAGAGCAGTAGCATTTGATTGTTTTTCGGTTAATCCTTCAGTCCAGATTGAGCACAGCTCACCACTCTGCAAGTTCACAAAACACAATGAACATGAATGAGGAAAACCATGGTAATCTTACAACTCCTTATGTAAGATTGTATTATGGCAAACATGCTCCTTATGTATTATGGCAAACATGTTGGTAGCAAATGAATTGTATTATGGTAAACATGCTCCTTATGTATATATGCACATAAAGAAAAGATGAGGAAACAGTACATTAGGAGCTGCAGTCTTCAGATCAAGGAATTCAACGTCAATAATGAACTTCCCAGTTAAGGGGACTTCAACTGGCCAAACAAAATCGTCGCTACTCTTGATTTGCTTGTCTATAACATCTGCAGATTCCAAACAATATTAATCACCAATTCACAAATTTAGATCAGAATATAAACAAATGAGATTGATGAGTATAAGACAATTTTACCTGGGTGAATCAAAGTCTTGCGATCTCCAGCGGACGAGATTAATCTAATTATAAAAGTTGCAATTGGAGGATTGTCTCTTGTAAAATTTGATATCTCTGGGTATAATTTAATGAACAATGTCCTGTTCTTCTCCACAGCTAAGTGCCTTCAATCAAATAAAAAGACTTTTAATTAACATATATACGTACACTCCTTGCTTACTTACTAATGTCACTACCATACATTACTATCATAGTGAGTGAAACCTGAACTGTCTCCCCTTTTCAAGAAATTTGCCAAAAAAATAAATACCCATATTAAACAAAAGAAGAAAGCATACACTGAAAATTTTAACATTGCCACAAATCTTAGGCCAGGAGGCAGGGAAAAAAATGCTATAAATTTATTAATATAGCCTTTACCCCACTTTGTCATCTGTTTTTTGGGTAATAAAACAAAGGCCTACGGTGATTCAATCAGCTCATCAGATGAGAAACAAACAATTGAATTGATTGATGAATTTAAACAAACTGGGCTAAAATTTCTTAGATTCTTGCAAAAATGTGTAACACTATTACAGAGACGGATAGAGCATAGCTTGTACAGTTCAACTACACGGAGTATATATGTGGGAGAGAAACTATTACTGAAGTAATCTTTTTTACAAATATTAATTTATGAACCCGTGATATACTACTCGCTTGTTCGAGCTTACGTGAAACTATTTCCTTTTTGGTCTATTCCAAAAAGAATGACCCCTTTCTAAATTTGAAAACAATCTAGCTTAAACTTACAACTCTAGCCTTAATGAAAAGCTTTTATAACTATACAAATAGTCTGATTTAGGACCACAAATTCTAAAAGATCTTTTATTTTTTCGTAAACTCTGTGCACGTAAATTGGAGGGGAGTAATGAGTTTAGTGTTGAAGCCGCACTATAACAGCTAAAATTGAAGGCAATTTGTTGGCTGTAATTTGCTCTGTTTGATCAGAATATAAGAAACATAATAAGAATATTAAAAAGAGTGACTGACCAATTCCATTTGCCGATCTTAAAAGGATCGGACTTCCGGTAAGTACAAGAAGCCAAATTGTCGATCCGCCATTGAGCGAGGCGCGGAGTGGTATCAACACGATAAGCAGAATCACTCATCCTAGAAAATACAAGCGCCGCCGTGATTTCATGGATGCAATCGAATAAACCTTCCAACAATAATTCTCCGTGCTTTCCCAGGTTTGCTTTTCTCCCTATTCCTCATACAAAAAACAAAACAATTTTCTCCTCGAATACACTCGCCAAGTTTATTACTACTACTACTACTACTACTTCATCTAGCTATCTTAAGGGTCGTATTTTTTCAGGGGATGGGCCCAATTGGTTTTCTATAGGTTTCGGACACGTAAGGGTATTTCTTGTTAATGCTTTACGCCATTGATTGTGAAGTTTTGCAGAATGGTTTTTGTTTTAGCTTGAGAAAAAGAAAGATTGTATTTTTGGTGGGGACTGAGAGTTAATTCGCTACAAATTTGTTTGGCTTACACTACACTTCAGGGATGATTGATGGTTGGTTACTCTGTTTATATACAGTCTGCTAGCGTACAGAGTTTAGGATTTTGTATGCAAATGATATTATTTGCATTAGAAGTATTTTGGTTTCTTTTGTGGGTAAAATTGATGGACTCTAGTTACACATGTGTACGCCTTATGAAAGTAACAGAATGTTTATTTTTATGCTTCTTTCAAGCAAAGTATCTTTGCTTTGAAATATTTCCAACACTTCCATATTTTTAATTCTTTTATTCTTTTCTTTGCTAATGTTTGCTAGATTCTCTCTCTTAATCATTCCTTTTCATTTTTTAAAGATTTTTTGGGCTTATGTCTTTCTTCAAGAAACAGGAGAGGTGGGTTGGATACAAAAGGTTAGCTTCATAGTTCATAGGGAACAGGAAGTAGCACTATATTTTCATTAGATATGAATATGTTTCGATAAACAGAATGTTTAAACCTCCCAATGAGATGTTGTTAAAGTTGGGAGGTTGAGCTGCCAAAATCCTCAAAATTTAGGTGACTTTATTACGTAATATTTATGTACTCTCTCCGTTTCATATTAGATGAGGTAGTTTGACTCGATATGAATTTTTTTTTTTAAAAAAAGACTTTTAAAACTTGTGGTCTTCAAAGCTTAAGGGGTAAAAGGTTTGTGGTGCCATGATATTTGTGTGGCTATAAAAGCTTTTTTGTTAAGGGTAAATGAGTAAAATAAAGAGTTTAAAGTTGAATTATTTCCAAATTTAGAAATGTGTCATTTGTTTTGGAACAGACTAAAAAGGAAAATACTCCATCTAATATGAAACGGAGAGAGTAGTAAGTATATTATCTTACCTTATGTGGATAATCTGTAATTGACTAATACTTCACTTGTTTTAATTCATAAAACACTCTTTTCATTTCAAGATGTTTTAAAATCTCGACTTTTGCAACTTCCAAGATTAGATATCATTAAAATAATTAAATTTTAAATTTAATGTGATATTTTTTCTATTATACTTTTTTTCTACCAGTACTTTTACTATTTTCTTCTACTATCATATATATATATATATATATATATCTTTAATTCGTACGCAGACAAATAGTCGTACAAATTTGAAACGGAAACAGGTCAAATAGTTTTGTGGTCCATTACAAACATGTTTTTAGTTGTATAATCTTACTTCTTTTTTTAAACAAGAGATTTACTTTTACACGTAAATGATATTTCTTTTATACATAAGAAATTTAAAAAGATAATTTTCTTAAATTCAAAATTATAAAGGGACGTACAAATATCGCGAAACGAAAAGGGTATGTGTTTCACATTGCAGACTATTGTATTTGAACATCCAAATATTGGGTTTCTTTATGCGTAGATTGCTCCGCTTAAACCAACTATTGCATTTGACAGGCACTTGGTTGGATGGGTTGTTGGGGGCTGTAAAAGCATGAACCATATGTCAAAGGCTTGATCTGAATAAACAAGTAAACATGGTATATTGTCTTTAGTATTTGTTTAAATTATTACACACTGTTAACTTATTATAATGATTAATCAGATATTTGGGTAGAGGATTGCTTTTTAAAAACATCACTTTCTCATTAAATATTGAAGAAAACTTACGGACGTCTTTAGAGAGAGCAGCCTCTGTTTGTCTAACTTTTATTGCTAAAACCGAGAATGTAAAGAACTTATTAAACGAAACTTGAATAAGCCCACAAGTATAATGGAATGTGTTTATTCTTTTTTTTTTTTTTTGGTACACAGAATTTGTTTATTCGGTTACTTACTAAAATTGTAAAATAAAAAACTTTTCCTAAAATTTAGGAGCTCAAAATCAAATAAGTTATGTTTGACTCAAAAGATATTAAAATCTTTTTGAACAAATCAATCAAAGATGAAGGGGTAAATCTTAGCTGAATATAATAATCTCTAGAAAGAAGAATAATAGATAAAGAGAAGATGGACGTTAAGTTTCTTTTCATTCAAGAATCATAATCTTTCCAGGGTCCTACCCCCTGTTACAAGGTTATTGTCCCCTTTTATACTAAGAGAGAAGCTCTTCTAAATTGTAAAAGACAAAATATAAGGAATATTCCTAATGTCCCCTAATGGGCTTACACTATTACAAGGGTCGTACAATCTCTTCTTTGCCTTAAGGTCGTCTCCTTCGGGACGTCGACTCAAAAAGACCCTGTCGTTTGTCGTACTCCTCGTTGGTCATGGTTGGTCAAATTTGGACCCTTACAGTTAGTCTCTCCGCTTATCGGGGTTGCAACCGGGTGCGTCCTCGATGAGCGGACTTCATGCGTTCTTATGGAGAAATTTGATCCGTTGAAACGTTACGACGTGGTCAACGAGGGACGGTCAGCGTGTTCAGCAAGACATCGAGTGATACACTTTACCGGGAAATGATGTCAGCTTCACGTGCGTCATCATCACGTAGGTTTTCGAGGCAGGAATTGATGGTTTGATGCTTCGATTCTTGCGCTGCTTTGTGACCTGCCGCCTCGATTTTGGCGCCACCTAACCCTATAAATAGGTGAAGGGTTTGTTTTTTCGATTTTTTTTAGCCATTTCACTCTTGATAACTTCTTTCACTCTTCCTAATTTGCTCTCATATCCTTTTGTTTCTTCTTACGTTCTTCATTCGAAGCTTCTTCTTCCTTCTCCCTTCTTCCTTTTGTGTTGATATTCCTTTGAACGATATTATGCCGAGGTTTCATCGTTCTCGTGAAGAGGTTCCTGAAGCCATACCGTTGTCCACGACGCCCCCTTCTGGCGGCGAAGATACGGTGGTAGAAGAGGGTGACAACCTTCCTATGGTGGAGGAGTTACTACCGAGGCATCCCTTATCCCGGAGTGACTTCCTCAAAGACCCCCTCCTACTCCAGACCCCGTATTTTCTGAGATGGAGCAAGTTCATATCGATGCTCTTCGTGCAAAGTATGGCATTCCCGCTCATGTAGAAATGGTTCCGATGGGGAGAGATTACGTGGATGCCCACAGACCTAGGTATTGTGCTTTCTATGAGTACCCTTTCATGATCGGCTATACTCTTCCTCTCTTCCTCTTAGTGAAAGAGTTCTGTAGGTTCTACCAAGTTTGTCTAGAACAACTTTTGCCATATACGTTCAAGGTACTTCTGCTGCTGACCAAGTATGTGAAGTTGGCGGGGTGCAATGTTTTTGTCCACCACCTTTTGCACATGTTCACGCCCGGCTTCCACAGGGGTACCATGGTGCATTTGAGGCTTTATGGCACGAAAGGGTTGGT